CCCCCCCCCCCCCCCCCCCGGCCTTTGAGTACCATTCTTTCAAGGTCTTTGAAGAATTTTGCTAGGATTTTGATGGACATTATGTTGAATCTGTCGAAGCAGACTGTTTTAAAGGTATACTGTATTGTAAAAGCATTTATTTTAGCTGTGGTTGTCTAAAATATTAGTGGAACAATGTCCACCTTTCACCGGAGGATGAACTTAATGATAGAGACTTTGATCCTAAGTGTCTTATAACTGTTTTTCTAGCTGTTGACTAAAATTTTACTTTCTTCAGCACAGCACCAGCTCAAGCTGGGCAGAACCATAAGGGAACTACCTGAGATCAGACAGAAAGGACATCCACAGACAGTTGGATGCAGCCGTGTGGAGTGTATCTCATGGGGTGGGTCCCCTAAGTTGCAGGAGTTGGACTCAGACCATGAAATATCAAGAAGCAGCAGATGAGGAATAAAAAGAAATGGTCAAAAAGGGGGAAGGGTTAATGGCAGGGAGTAGTTGAGAGTGAGGACCTCTCATTGCAATAAAAGTCCCTCCCTTCAGTTTGGTGCTGGGGCTCAAACCCAGGGTCTGTGTGTGTGTCAAGTAAACACTACTACAGGGATTCTCGTGTCAAATCTAAATGAGTCTTTTCTTTTGCAAGAGAGACTTGATGGGGCTTTTTCTGTTTCCTGTCTTTATACTTACCCATTTATTGTCTCTGCCATTGCAGGAACTTTGTGGGAATTTCGGTATATGGAAAATTGCTCTGTTCCAGCTGGTGTGAATCCAGAGGTCTTAGTATCATACCAGGACCAAAATATTGTGTTGGCCAGCTGAGGACCCCCAGAATCCCATGGGTTTCTAAGTAAGTTCTGCTTGTTTGCTTTCAGTGACTAGCACACTGTTTTTGGTTTAGCATAGTTAAGGGAGGTTCATGAGGTAGCAGAAGCCTTTCACCTCCCCTCCTCACTGGGAACATTTACAGTAGCACAGCTGTCCTCACTGCTGAAAGGGGCTGGGACAGGAAGAAGGCCATCTGCCTGGAGACTACTCTGGGGGCTGTGGCCACCTGGTATATTCATTGATTTAGTTTTATCTCTACCTATTAGAACCTAAATTCCCAGAAGCTTTCTTCCAACCTGCCCCTCCAAAGCTTATGCAAGTGCCTGCCTCTGCAGCGGTCGGATTAATAATCACCAAAGATAATAGGTATTTGAACAAGTTTAATAACAAAACCAGACTCACGAAACCAAGGTTCCAGCGGAGTAGCCGGCGGAGACAGGAGAGGAAGGGAAGGGGCGCGCAGCCTCTGCCCGCCCAATATATCAGTAAACATACGCCCAAGGGCAGCCCGCCCCCAAGGGGA